CCAACCCACAGAGGCCACGGGCAGGGATGAAGCTCCGAACTGCGAGGTCACTGCCTTGTCAGCCCAGGGAGGCTCGAGCTAGACATTTCAGCTTCTTTACCAAACTCGTGCTGAGCCTAGTTTACCCTGGCAGGTCCACTTTGGAATCCCACTGCATTTACAGAGCCCAGTTAGGAACCTCCTCAGAGTAAAAAAAAATTGTTATTAGAAACAGGATGAAGCTATGCCTGAACTTGAAGGTGACAGTCAATACCTCGTTGAGATCCTATTCTTTACAGCTCTGTTTAGAACAATCTGATGTTGTCAATTGCACTGAAAATAAACTAATTTTTACTCAGAAATTTATTTAAGAGAGACTCGACTCAGTCTCCAGTTCCCTCTGTCCAGATCAGCAGATGGCCTCAAGACAGAGGAACAGACCATGCTTCCAAGAGCCATCTGCACCCATCTGATTGCAGTTTGACTGCCTGGGCCTGACATTGCTAATTATATCTGCCCATTATTTCCTCTGAGTGAAGAGATGATTCTTCTGGGTCAGATGATTTGACTCAGAAACAATAGCCAGAAAAAACTTAAAAAACCAATAGGGACAGTGGGGTTCAGGCTTGCCTGAGGCCAAAAAGCCCAACCCAAAACCAACCCAGACCATCCTGCAGCCAGACCATGGCCTCATGCACTGGAAGGCAATCAGCAGCACAAAAATAGATGATATCACAAGCCCTGGTGTCTAGATCAGAAAATTAACACATGGTTCAACATAGTGCACAAAGCCCACAGCAGGCAGGGCCAAGAAGAAGAGAGCAGCCAACCTCAGGAGGCCTTCAACAAAACCAGGACGACTCTTAAACACACCAAGAACTTGTCAAAACTCTCAAACTCCCATGGATGTCAGCACAATCCTTCCCATGGATGTCTCAGTGCTGTCATGGCCCCTTAAGGATGGAGACTTCATGCCACTATCTTGAGTGCATGCTCAGCCTTCTCCTGGTCCAGAGTGGGGGTACTGCCTGACCAGAGCTGTCTGCTGGGCCCCACAGAGCCCAGAGACACAGATCTGCCACAGGGATTGCACAGCTCTGCCCTGGGCACCCAAATTGGGCAGGAACTCAGACAAACCTTTGGGGATGAAGAGGAGAGTAAGCCCCCAACGTCCCACTGGGTCTGAGGCTCCAGGTCTGCTTATCCCTGGATGGGAATTTCTGGCAGGTCCCTGCTGCAGGAGAAGCTCTGGGGCTCAGAGAGTATTCTCTGACTTTTTATCTCAAGCAACATTTGTTAACTACCCTGAATGACAAAGGAGAGCAGGGAGGGCCTGCTGCTGACTGAAGAGCCTCACAGAGCCAAGTTGTCCATTCCCTCTGCAGGCACTGGCATTTCACCAGAGACACACTCGGCAGGTTTAACCTCACCCGGGAGGACAATTTTCCTGTCCATCATGATATCTCCAAATGTAGTGCAGCCTAACGAGACAACACAGATTGCTGGCAATACACAGGCACCAGCACACCTCGGCCCTGCTCCAAATTTATCCCACTTTATCAAGCTGAAGGACCTGACCCATAGTAGATAAGTGGTAACAGCAGCTTTATCAAGGCCCAGCAGCCCAACGCCTGCATCACTGCTTCCCTTCACACACCGAGGAATGCATTTCCCCACCACCCAGAGCAAACCACTTGCTCTACCAGCCTCTCCCAGACCCTGCAGAGGTTTCTGGCAGCCAGTGAGCGGTTTATAGCCCCAGGCAAGTGCTGACCATCTGAAATCAATGCAGTGCAATGAAATCAGAGGAAATGACCTGTAAATGGCAGGAGTGATTCCAAGTACCTGCAATTTAGATCCATTATTTGGTGTGTTTGCTCACAGACTATATCTCTGGTAGCTTAATTTACTTGTGTATTTGCCTTGAGAAGTACAGCTCTAACAGTGGAAGATTTAAATCCATCTTACAGAGTTCCTGTTTCACTGTCCTCCTGGTCTGCTCTTTCACGTTATCTGCTGCCCAACCCCATTAACTGCTGTTAATGGGGTTAATGTTAATTAATTGCTGTAGTATCTCCCTGGATTGCCTATACAACACATCGGGGGAAACCGGAGCCTTGCTGAAGTCATTCCTTCCCCGTGAGCTAGGAAGGAATCAGAATTTCAACCTCTGAATCCACTGAGTATGGATTCTTAATTTCTTTGCATTAAATAACCCCCGCCTTGGCCCTTTCTGGCTAAGTCCAGCCTCAGGTGGAGTCCAGAGCAAATCCTCCACCACCACAAAGTCGGCGAGTATGTTTTGCCACTTCTAGTGGCTTTGCTAAATCGAGAGATCTGGGAATGATCTGGACTTATCTTGGTTATCTGAGATGGCAGCAGAGAGATCAGCCAGTACCTGCTCAATCAGCCAGCACTAAAAGAGCTGCATTATTATACTCAACCTTATCACCTAAGGACAATTTCACCAAACTTGCTAAATCTGCCCGTGAAGAACAGACTGAAACAACCTGATAATTTTTCAAAAGTCCTAGATTAAAATAACAGAGTTGAGGATTGGAAATATCATTGAAGTCCACAGAAGACAGAACTCTAGACAGGGTCAGCTCTGATGGTGAGTAATACAGTGGGATAAGAACTGGGGAAGATCTGTTCTTGCTGGGCCCTCAACTAAGGAGATGCACACATCTTTATTGACTCAATTACTGCCTGTCTCAGGAAGGCTTTGAGGCTTTTTCTAAGGATCAACACACAAGAGTAATCCCAGATTCATAATCTTGCAGAACTAGAGCAAAAGCAGCATGTGATGGTGTCGGGCAGTGTCTGCTGCTGCTGGGCAGGGACTGGGAGCGCTGCCCCGGGGCAGGCATGGCCTGAAGGGGCGCAGGTGTCAGCTCCTGTCATCCCCAGTGCCATGTCCCCACCACATCACCATGGCTCTGACACAGTTTACTCACTGATGTGGCCACTGAGCCATGTGAGGGTGCTCGCTCCAGCCCTGCGTGCAGCACAGATGAAAAGGCAAATTGATGTGCTCCTGTCAGGGTGGATCAGTGGGATTCCTGAGAAGCATTCCAGCAATGCTTCCTCTCTCACAGAGCAGCCTTGTCTTGTGTTTCCTGGGCCTCTTTCTGCCAAAAGAGAGAGGTCTTAGATTGCAGCATCCTGCCACTGCCCCCCAGAGATGCTGCCTTCCCCTGCCCTGTGCAGGGGGCTGTGTTTATCCATTCCCCCCGGGCTTCAGGAGCACCTCAGCACCCGTGCCCTGGCTGGAGGGTGTCAGGGGGAGGCTTTCTGCAGGGTATTTCCCACTTTAGGTAGAGTGGTTCCTCATCACATTCTGTTGAACTGATTTGTGCCTGAATTGCTCTATTCCCTTTCTGATTTCTCCTTCCAACTGACATTCACTTTAATTGGGATAAACATGACAGATCCTCCTGTGACAGACTTCTGTGTCAGCGCTCTGCGGTTCCTCATTCCTGCCTGCTCCCATCTTGACCTTCTGCCCCAGGAGGAAGTTCACAGACTGCTGTTTGTTTGGGGCTGAGGCACTGAGCTGAAGCCATCCCCTTTGCAAACCCCTCATTGACAGCCCATGGCCACTCAGTCAGGGCCCCTTCACACAGCAGGGGAGAGGAGAAATATCAGAGTAAAACCCCATGTGGGAGTCGCAGTGCTGATGTTGGGTGGCTGTAAATCGCTCATCCTCAGCGGATGGAAGATCTTCCTTCAGCCACTGACACAGTCAGGAGCTCTCTGGGGTGTAACACAGCCCTGAGGGCTGCCATGGTGGGGAGAAAGTCTGTGCTGGGGGTCCCAACCACTGCACTGCACTGAGCAGCTGCTCATCCTGCCCAGGACCCAAATGTGGGAAACTGGGAAATGACAAGTCACATCTGATGGTGATGTAACAGTGATGACACAGCATGGATGTGGCTTGAAAAATTCCCCAGAAACTCAACCAAAGTGGCTCTTTGAAGTGCTTCTGTCTGTTTTCAGGTAACTGAGCTGCCCTCGAAATCCTCATGCAGCAAATACCTTTGTAGGCACCTTCCCTGTACGTGTTCCATCCCGAGCCTCTACCTCTGAGCCACTTCTCCCAGCCGTCCTCTCACTCCAAGGGAAGGGTGGGAAGGATGCACTGTGAATTTCCAGGCGGTGGCAGGAATGCATCTCCAAGGAAGATGAGGTGGCTGGAGGGGGAAGCTTCTCAGCACAAAGCAGGTTTGCCATCCTTAACCACTTTCTGAATTTAGATCTTGCTGTTGCTGTTAGTTGTGTTGGCTCACCACCAGTCAGCTGGGAAGGAAGGAGTTACTTGGTGATCCAAGGGAAAAGCCACAGCTTCCTCTTGCTGTGGCAAGGCATTGAGAGGGAAGGGGATTCTGGAGATTTGTTCTTTCTGCTCTTTCCAAGGGGCATATTGAAAGAAAGCCAGGGAAGTGGATTTGCTTTGTGTATTTGGGTTTCTGAAACTTTTAGTGGAAGCATTTAATTCTGGGGGAAAACAGCGTTGTTGCTCAAAACCCCATAGCTGTGAGAAAAAAAAAAAAATAGACACTTCTGCTTGAGAAAACAAACTAAAGCAGCCCCTCTCAAGCTGGCAGCCCAGCTCCAGAGTCAGGGAGCAACAGTGCAGGGTGTTGGATGGCTGTCCATCATCCCAATCTATCAGAACAGGGAAAGCAACCTGGCATCCCAACCAGTCCATCAACAGGGGTTGACCTGCACTCATTCTGCCCCAGTTCCTGCATCCCTGCTCTGGCCAGGCTCTCTCAAAACTCCCCCAAATCCTTTGGACTCTGTGCAGAAGGGCCTTTGGTCCTTGCTGGGATGGGCATAATGGTGGAGGAACCTGCTGTATTTTGGCATTTTCCTGGGAACCCAGTGACTATTTCAGAGAAAAAGCAGAGTCTCTGTCATGGAACACCCCAGGATGAGTCATGAGCCCTGGGTGAAGGGGAGGAAGCAACTGTCTTAAAAAGAAAACATCCAGTGTCTGTGGGTAAGCACTGCCCAAAGAAGTGGCAGGAGAAGACAGCCTGGAATCTTGGAATGCTCTTTGGACATCCATGTGCAGGTGGGCCTGGCTTCATCCTGAAGAATTTTTTGTGAAAAACCACAGGGAAAATTCCACCTCAGGAGCAAGAAGCTGGAAAATGAGGATTTTCTTGGTTTGGACCCTTTTCCTCATGAGAGCCACGAGCACAGGTCAGGCAAATCTCTATCAGGTGTTCTGGCAGAGCTGTGGAGAGGCTGGGGCCAAGGCAGACCATGAAGCTCACTGTGGTCATGGCAAAAGACCAGCTGATCCCAAACTTTTCCTCTGGCAGTTACAGGGTGTGATCTCTGAGATGCCATGTGAATCCTGGGAATAAGGCTTTTCACTCTCTTACTAACATATGCCCTTGATGGGGTCTCTTTTTTTAATGACTGGGGACATCTCACCTCACTACTGCTCACTGGCATGGTGGGTGCACAGGCACAGCCTCCCTCGGGCTGAACCCCCAAGATACCTGGGCTCAGATCCTTCATGGTTCCCTGAGGCAATGCCAGGATGGGTTTACAGTACCTCTCTGTGTCCCCTGCAGGTGGCCAGGCAGTGACAGGCCCCAGGCAGGTGACAGTTGAGCAGGGCAGCTCGCTGGCAGTGTCCTGTAGCTACAAGCCACGCTACAAGCTCAACTCCAAGTATTGGTGCCGCAAAAACTCCCTCTGGGTTTGCTTCACCTACCTCATCCAAACTGACGGCTCAGAGGTAACAGTGACACAGGACAGGCTGTCCATCAGAGACAACCACACAGCAAATTCATTCAGAGTGACACTGAGCAGTGTCACACTGGAGGATGCAGGCCAGTACTCCTGTGGGGTGAAGAGGAGACTGGGGATCAACCGCTGGCACAGCACCAAGGTGATGGTCTCTGCAGGTAAAACAGGGCTGGAAGCAAAGCTGGCAATGAACTTCCCCCTTTTTCCACTTCCTCCTCTGCAGTGTTCAGGGTATTGCCCGGACACCTCCATATTCACACTCTGCACCTTCACTGCTGAAGTCTCAGGGCAGAGACTCCTGTGTGGGGTGCAGGACAGAGGGTGTGGGGGTCTCCACTTTGCTCTGACTCTCTTTTCTCTGACAGCTGTTTCAAACACAACAGAGGACAGCAATGTGAGCCTGTTGACCACCAACCCTCTGTGCCCCAGAGGCTATGGGGAGCCTCCAGTGCTGTGAGTCAGGGTTTGGGATCCGGGCAAGTCCTCAGCAGCATCCCCTGGCCAGAACCTTCTTTTCCCATGCATGTATCTCCCAGCTTGGAGTCCCCAAGGATCATCCTGGGGGCAAGCAGGGCAGCTGGCAGACATTCAAGTGCCCCAGTTCCCATCCTCATTCCCCAGACCCTACTAAAGCTCTAGCATAACCTCCTTTTTCCTACACAGGTCCCAGCTCAGTGTCATCCACTTACTGCTTCTTCTCAGCATCAAGGTGCCCATAGCATTGGCTGTGATTTGTGGAGTGGCCTGGGTGAGGAGCTGGCACAGGAGACATGACCAGGAAAACCTGCAGGTCTTGGAGGTGTCCAGCAGCACCAGGGCACGGGACTGCCCACGCATCCCAACCATTTCTGAGCCCCAGGGATGCCCTCCTGTCCCCATGGTCCCCACCCTGCTGGGGCCGTACCACCCCTCACGGCCACCCTGTGCCAGAAGGTGTTTGGCTCCAGGTACTTTTGCACCTGGAAAGCCTGAGCCTCTCCTGGCAGCCCCTGCCCTGGAAAGGGAAGGGTTTGGGGTGCAGAGACTCTGTGTCTGTTGAGCTGCAGCTGCCAACTCAAGACAATTTTGCAATAAAGGCTGGGTATCCTGCAGGACCTTGTCTGTTTGTCTGTCTATATGTCTGTCTGTCTGCTCCTTCCTTCAGCTGCCAGCACTGGCCTGGATGCCCATGGCAGCTGATGCTGATCCACAGCATTGTGGCTGGGTGGGGACATGGGGTCACAGGGGCAGTGCAGGCTCCACCATGGCCCAGCTGAGCTTCCTCATGGGGAGAGGAGCCCTCAGCCCTACCACCTCTGCCTGAGCCACCAAATGTCCATCTGCAGCTAAGCAATAGCCAGGGAAGACTGGGTTCCACAACTCTGCCCCCCACTAAGCAATGGCAGGGATTGGGGACACAGGGGGAGGCGTGGAGAGACCTGATCAGAGCATGGGGTTCCAGAGCCACAGGGAGGCTGTGCTGGCAAGAGGATGCTCCTATCCAGCTGCACTGGGATAAGGGGCTGGGGTTACCCATTTCATTCCCCTGGGAAGGACAGGGTGGCCATGCAGGGCTCTGCCCAGCCTGGGGGATTGTCTGGGATTCAGGTGATCCCTCTGCTGTGCTACCTCTCCCACTGGGTGCCCTGCCTGTCCAGAGGGGCTGGGCAGTGTGGCAGTGAGAGGCAGGCTGTGTCTCGACGTGGAAGCCGTGATGGAGGAAGAAAGGGGAGACCCTGGGGAAGGGCAAAGGGAACTGTGCACAGCAAGTAATCTCAGTGACCAGGAGAAGCTGAAACTCTAGGAAACAGGAAACGCCATGATCTTGCTGAATCTCCAGCAGTAACAGAGATGGTACCAGAAGTAAAAGAGTAAGTGGAGCCCCAGAGACACAATGAAGAGGAGTAGCAGGGCTGCCCCGACATGTACATGTGGCTCCTGCTGGTGCTGGCCTCATAGGCTGCCAGGTAGGGCTGAGTGGAGTGCCAGGACTGGAGCCCCACACTGGACCAGAAGAAGCAGGAGGTGTCGGTGCAGTGGCAGAGCTCCCATGTGTCTCCATAGGCTCCGGGGCAGTGACAGGGCCTGCCATGGTGTGGGGATTGCTGGGGGTTCCCTGTCCGTCACCTGCACGTCCCAGCCCGGCAGGGAGACATTGCCGATATTCTGGTGCAAACCGAGAACACACACTGGTGTTACCTGTGCTGCTCACATCGTCAGCACCTCGAAATTGCAGACCGAGGTGCGGCAGGGCCGGTTCTCCATTCTGAACAAGTATTGCAGTTCATTCAGAGTGACTGTGGAGCATCTGGTCAAGAAGGATGCGGGCACATTATGTTACAAAAGGGATTTTCCCCGCTACATGAGAGTGCTGATGTGGAGGTGACCATAACCCCAGGTGGATCCTTGAACGTTTTCCCCATAGCAACAGTGACTCCCACATTTTGGGGCCGGGGCCAGACTGCGGGATGAAGTTTCACCTGTGGGTGACGGGATCACGGTGCCCGTCTGGCACCCGCTACATCCATCATTCCTCCGCATCTGCAACCCCGACGCCCTCCAGGCGCTCCTCAGGAGACCGGCAGCACTTTGCGCTTCTTCCCAGCGCTGGCCGGGCTGCAGCTGCTGTCCCTGAGCGCTGCCGTGCTCTGGGTCAGCCTGCGGGGCCGTTAATCCCCGCCGGGACCCCCCGGTCCCGGCCGGCCTTGCTCGATCCCGGACTGGCCCGGTCCCGGCGGCCCGGGCAGGGAGAGGGCAGCACCGGGGCCCCACCGGGCTTTTCCTGCTTCCCCCGCCGGCTCCAACAAACGCTCCCGGGCCCCCCTCCCTTCCCTTCGGCGTCCCCCGCTGGGCAGAGCCCCGGGGATTCCCGCGCTCCGCCCCTGAGGGGTGACCGTGCCGCGGGGTGGGCCCGGGGTGGGCCCGGGGCGGGCCCGGGGCGGGCCGGGCTCGGCCGAGGGGAGCCGGGAGCTGAGCCCCGCTGTCCCGGAGCGGCTATGCAGCTCCTGTCTCTGCTCGCCTGGGCCCTGCTGCCAGGTAAGTCCTCACCGGAGCCCCCGGTGTCGGGGAGGCGCCGTCGGGCGGGAGGTGCCGGTGCGGCGGCAGCGCTCCCGCGGCTCCGTGTGTTTCCACAGGCTGCGGGGCAGTGACGGGACCCGACATCGTGTGGGGATTCTTGGGGGGTCCCCTGTCGGTCACCTGCACGTACCAGCCGGGCTGGGAGGAGTCGCCGAAATTCTGGTGCAGAACAACAGCACGTATCAGTTTTTTCTGTACTGGCCGTATGCTCATCACCCCGGAGTCGGAGCCCGAGGTGCTGCGGGGCCGGTTCTCCATCCGGGACAACCGCACACGCCGGGAATTCACGGTGACTGTGGATGCTCTGGCCGAGGAGGACGCGGGCACATTCCTCTGCGGGGTGCGAACGGGAATATTCCGGTTTGTTAAGAGTGCTGCTGTGAAGGTGATCGTGGTCCCAGGTCAGTACTTGTGGGTTGCAGGTCCCTCAGGTCCATATGGATGTGTCCTGCTCCAGCTGCTTGGAGCAGGGGCTGCAATGGGGGCAGCCTGGAGCTGATGGGTGCCCGTGCAGGTGGGACAGCCCCAGGTGTAGTGGTAGGTGCTACTATCACTCATTCCTTATTCTCACTTCTCCCCAGAGCCCCTTCTTGGCACCCCAGGATCAGCCATCTCCATTACTGAGGTGCACTGGGCTCTCTGTGTCAAACTTTCTTTCTCATTAGCTCTTGCTGTTTTTTTCTGTGCCCTCCTTGCCTTACTGTATAACAGCAGGGAGTTCCTCATTGCACTGTGCTGCCTCATTTCCCACTTGGGACAGTCAGCACCTCTGGGCTTAGGAAACATCCCTCTCCATTGCCTCACCAGGGAGCAGCTCACATAGCAGGACAGTATATATGTGATGTTGTTGTGTTAATACTAAACTGAGCGTGGGGTTCCCAGACCTCCTTTCTGCAGGGTGAATTTGTTTTGTGCATGTTTTGGGAGGCACTGAGACTGTGAAAAGCCTTGTGGGCAGGGGAAGGGTCTTACAGCCCTCTGACCTTGAGATACGTCCTCTAAATATGCCAGAGGGGACCCATCTTCTCCTGCTGTGACAGCACATAAGTCACTTCTGACTTGCTGCAAAACCCACAGCATTTTTCCCCACAGAGATCAACCAAGCCTCTCCTCTTTTTGTTACAGCTTCTTCCACCCTCCCATCATCGACCTACACCACCACCACCTTCTCTGATCTCATACTCTCTGTAACAGGCTGCACACAGACAGTTTCCCAGAGGGAAATTGTGCAATCAACATCAAATCCCTCCACCCCTCAACTGTGAGTAGCAGCTCCTGCCTACAGCAGCCACTTTCTTCCATGAGGTCTCTAGTGCAGCTGGAGCCCTGCAACCATCGGGCTCTTCAGACGCCCCTTAAGGATCCAGGCCTCCTGGTTTTGCTTTTAGAGACCACTCTATATGGAACAATTCTTCCCTTTAAGGGTGGTGAGGTCCTGGCACAGGGTGCCCAGAGATATTGTGGATGCCCCATCCCTGGAAGTGTTCAAGGCCAGGCTGGAGGGGGCTCAGAGCAACCTGGCCTAGTGGAAGGTGTCCCTTCCCATGTCAGAGGGTTGGAACTGGGTGATCTTTAAGGTCCCTTCTGACCCAAGTAATTCTCTAATTCTGTGACAGTAATTCCAGTGGCCTCTAGTCACGTGGGAGAAGTGGTTTCTGCCTGCAGCACCAGCCCCATTTCCTTCCCCAAAACTCAGTAAGACTGTTTGTGGGAAGCCAAGTGCTGCGCAGTGTTCTGTTCTTTGTTGTCACGCAAAGAACAGACAAGTAAAACAAAAAGCACAAAACCAGAGTGTTATATCTTCCCCCCTTCTCTCCTGCCTGTGGATGTGATGCCAGCAGAAGACAAAGCTGAGACTCCCCATCGGCAGAATCAAGGCTGTGCTGGCTCACCAATTTTTCCTTCTTGCCCATTATAAACAAGGTTAACAAAGAGTGGAGTTGAACCAGAGCAAGTGCAGGAACCCATCCTTAAATCACTGAAGACACAGAAGCTCTCAGACCCAAGTGTCATTTTGCTTCTGCAGGTTTTGGTTTGCTCTGCTCCATGCCCAGCTGGCAGCCTGACCATCCCATGCCTGCTGTGATTGTCAAGCCCTGCCTCACACAGCTACTTCCTGTGTCACCCACAGCTGCTCCCTGCTCCATGCTGGCTCATCCTGAGAAGTGTGCCAACATAAACTCTTTTTTCTTGCAGCTCTAACGTGGTTGAGCACATCCTTACTCCAGCCATCATTGTGGTTCTTTTTTTGCTTGCAGTGGCTGCTGGTGTTCTGCTAATACTCTCCAGGAAGAAGAAAGGTGAGTGAAATTGTCAGTGCCACACACATCTTGTTTCTGTAACAGAGCCTGCTCTGCTTTCCTTATTTTTCTTCTGTTTCTTTTTCCTCCCCCATTCCCTTCCTGATCCACCCAATTCCTCAGTCTGTCATTGAGACATCAAGAAGGTCTCCTTCCCTCAAGGGAACAGTGGGACCATCCCATGGGTGTTACCCTTTGGGTGCTGTCCCCTGGGTGCAGGGAATGACAGCCCTTGGAGAGGATGCTGCTGGGCACAGAATCTGCTTCAGTTTGGGCACCATCAGCTTCTCCAGATGGGCTCACTTGCATGGGCCAGGCTTACACCAGGCTTGATGCAAAGTTCTAAGGCCAGTGTGAAGGATGGGGAGGGATAGGAGGGGACATTGCCAGCTGGCAGGTGAGGTCTGGCTTTATTTGAAGAAGCACTCCAGTTTAGATGGATCATGGAGTGTCAGGTTCCTGTCCTGCTTTATGGCAAGATTTGCAGTGGCAGTGCAGTTCCTCAATATGTTTCTTTTCCTTTGTTTTCACTCATGTCCAGCCACATCCATGCTTCATCCAGCCCTTTCTGGAGCAGCCATAGAGATGGACAGGACTCACAGAATGTCACCTACAGTAAGGAAAACCTCATGAGTTCTTGGGATTCTGTGCCCCAAGTTCACATGGAGAGGGGAAACATTGC